TTTATGTACAGTGCAAATATTACACTAGGTACTTGACTGTAGGTGCCTCAAAAGGATTTCCCATGAAAGATGCCATGTTATTACTGGGTAATAACATCACTACGGTTAGTTCGTAACCGAACCTAATACAGATCATTCTTCTCCCGGTGTGGCCATAACCGGGCAACATCCCAGGTATGTCTGGAGAGAATGTTGACCTATCCTTGGACGACACCGAACAACTGAAAGCCCACGTTGTTTATGAGGCCACCATCCGGCCGGAGGCCTCGTAAATCAAGTGAACAGACCCCCCGATCAAGCCTTCCTATACCGCAGGTTGCAGGATTGCCAGATGGCCAGTTTCCAAGCCCGAGGGACTGTCCTTTCCGGGATTAACAACGAAAGGATCCTTCTTTAAAATTCCGTGTGAGGGTGTGTGTGGTGTGTGGGTGTGCGTCCTTGTTGTATGCAAATATTTTGTACGCTCGTGTGCACATGTGTCCGTGCTGTGCGCCCTCGGTGGGTGTATGTGCGCGCGCCGCTAGTGTGGGTGTATGATCCACTAATATTTGTATTTAAAACTCAGATACAATGTGACCAGGTGTGGGTGGACCGTTATCAGTGTGTTCATAACTTATGTAATTTGTTCATGACGTAAACCAAGTATAGGTAGTGAAGCTGATTCATTACCTCTGTAACTTTGCCATGATAAGACAAGAACTACCTGTAGTTCATTACCATTGTAACAAGTTCAGCTATCAAAACTTTGGGGTCCAGTCACTGGACCCATTATGTACCTCTTATGTAATCTTTGACTACCCCCACAGGATGGGTATTGGGGTGCAAAAAGAATTAAACTAAATGTGGTGTGTGTGTGTGTGTTTGTGTGTGTGGTGTGTGTGACACAACAATCAATATATGCACCAATTATACTCATTACAGATGGTAGACCGGGTGTGGAAGTGTGAGATTGCTCATTACTCTATAATTTGTTCATAGATTGTAGCCAAAATTATAACGTTAAGTAACCATCAAACAGAATTTCATTACCTTTGTAACTTGTGAGCTCATTACCTTTGTACCAGTTCACTAACAAAACTTTGGGGTGCCTCAGTCCCAGGACCCATTACGTACCACTGTAATCTTTAAATACCTTATGTAACTTGTCATGATTGTGACCAGGACATACCTGGAGTTCATTACCTTTGAAAATTGTGATCCATACCTTTTAAATTTGTGAGTCATTACCTCTGTACCTTGCTCAGCAATCATATACTTTGGGGTCCAGTCCCTGACCAATTATGTACCTCTGTAATCTTTTGACTACCGCCCACAGGATTGGAATGGGGTTCATAATAAACATATTAAACTAAAACAACTAACTTAAAAATTCGCTTTTGAAGGCAGCCATGGGTAATCCTCTTATGGGTCATCCGGTCAAGTAATAAGTTAAAAAAGATTAATTTTATCTGCATCTGAGACGGTAAGTGAGATAGTGGGGAGCCGGCAATTGTAATGACAGGTTTAGTGGTTCAACCAAGTTTAGACATCAAATATTAAATATAAGTGCTCATAAAACGTCATTAGGAGGTCAACATAGGAAATTACAAAAACCTTGTATAGAAATCACAAAAGAATTTTATTGCCAAAAATAAACATAGAAATGTGAAAGAATCAATAATGTGTTGCCGAGAAGTCAGCAAGTAGGGAAACCTGGACATTCCATTACAACCTGCTCCTCTCCAACCAATAACCATGCTGATGGAGACCGCTAATGCAGATTTTAATTATAGATTGTGTAGGTCCACGTACCTAGGTCAAAGTCGGGAAATCACTATTTATTTACGATATGGATAAAGTAACCAGATACCATAAGCATATCCCATGCGTAGTATTAATACTAAAAGCTAAACTCAAAGCTTTAACAAAAATAATTTCATTTCATGTTTGGCATTCCCTAAAACTACTCAAAGTGATCAAGGAACTAACTTCACTCCAAAGCATTTAGGGAAGTATAACTAGTATTAGGTGATAATCAAGAACAATCCACTGCCTATCATCCTCATTTCCCCGCGCCATGTAAAGATTCCCATCAGACGTTAAAAAACTAAGATGGATGGAGAAACTTTTTGCATGCACTTTCCCTACAGACTGGGATGAATACAACTACCTTTGTTGCTGATCCCACTAGACGAGAGACGGTGCAAGAGTCTACAGGGTATAGTCCGTTTGAGCGATCTTAGGGCACAATGGTACGAGGTCCTCTTCGGGTGCTCAAAGAATATTGGATGAGAAGAAGAACATTAGCTCAAACACTTCTACAACACCGTCTTCAAGGTGCAGTGACACGTCAGTTTAGCCAAGGCTAACCTAAAGACAGTGCTCAAGTAAGAGAAACAGAGGTATGACAGAAGTGCACATTTCCGCCCTTCCATCCAGGATGACAAGGTGTTGTGCCAGGAACTCTATACCTGGCCACCACCTTGAAAGCTAGATTTAACGGGACCTATCATATTGTAAGTAATGTTATCTGTTTAAATTATGGTGGAAGCTCCCATTGATAAGACCACCAAAACTAAAATTTACCACCCAATCAATTAAATCTTTTTCCATACACCAGATAAAGTCCCAGTAATGACTCTGTCCTCTACCTCTGAGAACAACTCTGATTCTTTTGCACTCTATCTCTGAAATTAATATATAAACATTTCAAATGCTGTCCTCCTCCAAGGATCCTAGCCCTTAATGAGGATTAACTGAAACCAACAACTAAATTTAATGGAGCTTCTAACAGTCCTATCCTACTATTTTTTCGGATGTTCCGAAAAAGTACTTTAGTTATCATGATGTAAGATGTGGGAACCTCTAACCAACTAAAAAACTCTCCCCCTACAGAGCTAATCCTGAAAAGCAAAGCTTACTTCAGCATGAATTAGAATTTTTTGGGTAGTTAAAGCATGGTTTAGTGAGGAGTCATCTAGTCCATGGGCTTTCACCGTGCATCCTTGTGCAGAAGGCTGAAGTAGGTTTCGTATGTGTAATCAGGGACACCATAAGGGAGAACGAGGTCACCATTACCAGATGCTTACCCTCTTCCCTCGTCTGGATGACGTAATGACTTTGTGTTAAGGCTACTTATTGTTCCAAGGTAGATCTCCTTATAAGGCTACTACAGGAAGCCATTGACGGATAAGGCTAAGGAAATCTCTGCCTCTTAATCCAGGAGGACATTATCAATACACAGTTACCCCCCTTCGGAATGAAAAATTTCCCACTCTCATTCCAGAAACTTATCCATTCAGGCTATTAACAGGACTTGATGGCACGGAGCGTACCTAGTATTTTTGTGGGTCCTGATTACTGTGGTATCAACACCTACTTAGACTTAAGGCCTTTTTAGACCTTTAAAGTTCCCATTTAACAGTTAATCTATCTAAATCTTCCATTGCCAGGCCACAATCACATTCTAGGCCATGTAAGTAGTTAGTGGTAAGGTGGGGGGGGGAAGTTGCAACCTAAACTTGCTAAGTTTTATGCTATTAAAGATTAATTCCAGTTCCTCTGATAGGAAATACTCTTCTCAAACGTTTTCCTAGGCATGATCTGATTTTACGGAAAGATTCTGTAGAATTAACTCAGATATGTAGCCCCACTACCTCAACATAACCAGTCACAAAGTTTCCCTTTTAATTGGACCTCAGACTGTAACATGCATTTAAATAAAGCAAAAAGAATATTGGAGAACGAGCACACATTTCTCTTGACCTCCAGAACTTCTCCAAACCTTTTTCATTACAGGTTGATGTCTTGTGAGTCCTGGGGTTTGGGGCAGTACTATTACAAAAAAGAGAAATGAGGAGTTTGCAGCCTGAATCATACTTTATCAGCCAATTCCAGCACATCAGAGGCTTAACTCTACCATAACAGAAAAAGAAAGCCTCGTTCGGTACAGGCTTATTGGAGCATTTCGAGTTTATGTGGGCCAGACATCGCAGTAGTCAGTCTACAGTGATCACAATCCTCAATTATATCACCCAGCCATGAAGAACCACAACACAAGGCACATGCCCTGTGACGCTAAGGCTGCACCCTATACCAACGTTTAAATCCACAAACACTTACCCGATCCTCCCCTTTATTCCCACCTCCCCCAGAAGACTCAGTTTTCACATAAATACACACATTCCTTCGTTCCCACCACGGTATGACCCAGCCACCCTTGACCCAATCGGCAAAAAGTAATTACCTTTCCTGCTTACTACTCACCAGCCAGATCCCCAAATGAACCAATAAACCCAATAGTAACAATTTCGTGACCTCTTGCGCATACACGGATACATTACCACCACAATATGCCATAATTTACTGTACGTTTATCGCAGTTACTCTTTGGTCAACGTGAGAATTGCAGACCACAGTCCTAATCTTCTAACAACGCTATACCACGGCCCTCACCGAGATCAAATCACGTGCTACCCAATGGATCTCCACAATCCCACATACACAAACCCACATATCTTAAGCTGGTCCACCATGCTTCCAACCTAGCCCCCCATCCCCCACGCAATTGGTCCCAAATTTCCCACTGCCATAATCTTAGTCTTCGTGCATAATTCTCGATCCCTGTCGCCTCTCCAACACGTCCACGATTCCATCCACCTGCTGCAAGTCTACACCACCTCCTACCAAAAACCGATTACATCTACGTAACCCAAATACATGCCAGCCCATCACTCTCATAACCCCCCAAACGCCCCCAAAACTCTGCCGCCCCAACCGCACTATAAAAAGGATCTTGAAAACACGCAAACAATAATGTGAAAGTGGACAACTTGCCTCAAACCCTGAGCCCCACCTGAACTGCACACCTAACTACCATGACCTTCACACCATAGTCGCCCCTTTGTATAAAGTAATGGTGCCCAAGAAGATGATTTTTTCACTCCCAAAAACCCCGCCAACGAGCATGAACTGCCACAAAGCTCCTCTTTCTACACTATCAAATGCATAGCCCAATCCAAAAAATGTTGGGACGCTTCACAATATTGCGTGTCATGCTTGTGCGGGGTCCATGCTAATTCTTCTCTGTATCGTTCCCAATTTTAGTATATGTACGGCCAAAGCAAGTACAGATGTAGTTGTGCATAATTTAAATAATAGGCATTCATGCCTGTTTTTTAACTAGTTGCACGTTTTGGTATTGTGTACATAAGTAAGATCTTGCCTGGGGTGTCTATTGCTTATAAATTGTTACAGATGTATTCCACAAGTTCATTATATAGGATTAAGTGAATGAGTTTTTTGATCTGTGTATAGCCCAGGTAAACTAGACAGTTTGCACATTAGGGGGGGTAGGAGTGTAAGCAGACCTCTGCAACTACATGTCAGCAAAAACACATGTCATAATTATTTTAGATAGTCTAATGTAGATCCATTCTCTGTAGGATGTGATGTATAAGATATCTCTGGCAGTGTAAATAATCTGACTGCAGGAAGGAACAATTATGGTAAATTTATTGTATTTTGGGTAGTGTTTATGTATAAGCGAGTTTTCACAGGGTGAAATATATTTAAGGTGCTAATTACCATCAATGACTGGTTTTTTTTTTTTTTTTTTTTTTTTTTTATATTTATTTAAAACAGTGCGATACAAAATAGCATAAATATAATAAAAGCTACACGACCAAAAGGCTTACCTGCACTAGAATTTCATCTTAACCCCGAAACCTAATATTGATACCATACTGCACAGTGGTAAATACACACACACACGCAACACACCTGTATAATACAATGTAATACACCTCTCACACACACACACCGTATATTACAGTGAATATAACACACACCCTCAACACTATACATTACAGTGATATTGTTTTTATTTGTTAAAGAAAACATCTCTAACACGGTTACTTATACAAAACATCAAACACTGGAACTTATAAAGATTGAACAATAAAAGAAGAGATAATAAAAAAAAACTAACACGCAACATGACATCACATACACAAGCACACACTAGGTGGGATTATCTTGCCTGTCAACACACACGAATGAAGTCAAAGCTAAATCTAGATCTCAGGTGGCCTTAACAGAGCACCAACGATACTCAAACATTACTTTAGCTGATTATCACAAGTCTTAAACAATACAAAGTATTAGGATCCAAAGAATGAAACTGATAATACTAAAGTCGCACAATAAAAACACCCAATATACAAAACAAAACAACGAAGTGCAATATTACATCTCAGCGGAACTAAGAAAAAATGAAGCAAGTAGTTACATGTAAATAAATATTACTGAAAAGCACACTAAACAGCATAAAGTTATACAAAAAAATAACAAAAAAAATAAGAACCAGTTAGCTTATGCTAGGAAAAACTTTTTTTTTTTTTTTTTTTTTTTTTTTTTTTTTTTTTATAAACATTACACTTGAATCAAAATCATTAAAGCCACCTATAACAACTTGAGTCAATGAAAATTTTCATCATAAAGTCCTTGAAATGATTTATGTCATGAAAATGATAATATGCAATCGTAGTACAAACACATTTCTAAATAATAACTTTTTAGTTCCTGAAACCCCTCGGGGCAATAACCATATTGGCCCATAGAATCAAAACTCAATTAGACATCCTTATACACAGCATCTCCATGCACAACACCCAAGCCAGAAAATAGCCCGTTGTGTCCCTTACCATTTTGCAAATCCCCTAAATCCCTTAATGTAAATTTCGATAACCCTCACAAAATCTCACCTCCCATCTCCTCCATACACCTTTATTCAACACTGTGTCCTATAAAAAGTTGCTGCCGAACGCATTAATTCTTGCACACGCAGGCAGTCCGCCTCCCTCATAGGCCCACATCATGTATATATCATCCGAATCATATACCCAATCGCATTCTTCAACCTTTTATCCACCTCAGTTTATATCTAAACTTAAAAACCCTCAAGACCTGCAAACCCCCCTCCCGCCCACTAACCATAAAACCTTACCCATCCAAACCCTTATAAGTCAATACAATCGCAAAAATACACCGTATGATAAATAGTCGCCAAATATCCTCCACAATCCTTGCTTTCCCCCATTCCCCCTCTCGAATTCCTCTTATAGAATAAAACCATGTTCCTGACGGAGCAATATTTCCATGTAAAAAATCTATACATAACTTCTCAGACCTTTAGGTTTTAAACGCAATATGATTAAACGCCCCCAAAAAATATTACGCCAATCAACATCGGAATACGCCTTCAACCGCCGCTACCAAAGCCTTACCATCTCCCATCAAGAATTTCTCAATATTAATAAGTAAAGGATCCCTAACGTTTATAAATACCCGTAACATTGCCTCACCTATCATGAACTCTCCCTACCGCCCCCCACCCCGTCGCATATCCTAGTATCCTATGAAGACCCGCTTCCTTTCACCCCTCCCTCCCGCTTATATCTATGTTTTAAATTACAACTTATTATCCTCTTTTCGAACATCTATAAGACCCAGCCCACACTCGTGCCAACCGGGAGTGTGACAACCGCTCTACTTAACCAATCGCTCCCTGTTCCCCAAATAATCTAAAAACACTTTTTTGTAGCCTTTTTAACTTCACAAACGAAGTATCGCGGAAATATTACCGTAACATGCCCTAGTTTACGTATATATAATAGCACATTCCGGTTGTAATCACCCTTTGAGTTGCAAACTTAAATTAGCAGCTCTATAAAACCACTGAGGCGCTTCATAACACTGGTCAACGATAACGCACTGGAATTTATTTGCTGTGCTAACTTGAAAACATTTATACATAAACGAATCCCACATATCTTTATTTGGTCCCAACCCTTTTTCCACACTTTCAGCAACCATGTCCTCTCAAACCTTGACCCTTTTCCAAGATTCATATTCTTTGTTTTCCCCATGTTGATTCGTCCTGGCCATAGCCTTTCAAAAACTTTCACTAACGTTTCTAAACCGCGAATCAAATCCATGTTTTTCCTCTCACAAAACGCCGAATCTTCGACATATCCAACAATGCCCGCTCCCCCATCCCTACATTACCCATTCCCCTTTGGCTTCCAATAAAACCCTTATTCCCTCATAAAAGGGATCTTGAACAACAAGCAAAAAAATTTGTGAAAGGGGACAACCTTTTCTGTTGGTGGTTATGAGAGTTGATGGCAGACACAGTTACTAGGCATGCGAGAGGGGGGGTAGAAGTGTCAGCGGTAGTGTAATAAAAAAAATCCACCACCGTGCATATATTGAAATGTTACCTAGGTAAAAGAGGGTTATGTTGTGGATTAGTGTTTCAAAGTGGATGTAGCCATCAAAGTTCAGGACATTTCTTGTTGTGGCATCAAAGAGTACTAACCTTTATTTTCCGCGCATGTACACACCCTCATATACAGGCTATCTCCCCCAACCAGGAGTTCAGCACAAACCATTGAGTAGTGAGACGAGCGCTGCTCATAGGGATATCAACATGGCGGAACATACAGTACTGAGAGTGAATACTATCTGCCATAGAGCTGGTTCGTGGACGGTAAGTGGAGATCGATGAACGACCTTCTCCCTAACATCCTCAGGATAACATATGGAATTCCCCACGAGGAATTGAAATGTGTGCGTCGCCCTTAATGGTTTAACAAGAATCTTTGTTGAAATTTCTACGAGTGCGATTACTACACCAAGAATAGTAATCTAATTTGTATAAGGCAAAAGTTTATATTCATATATTCAACCAGACAATGGATACGGAACAGCCATAGGGGTCGTGGAAGGAAGCCAGGAGGCTGTAGCTTCTCAACTGGCAAGGATAGAGCCATCTCAGGTCCCTACCCTAGTTGCGTCGGCCTCCACAGTGGACAGGGACTGTCTGCCTCCACGTGGAAGGAGGAATTCTCGCTCAGCTCGGGCACAAGCAACCAGGGCCTTCAACAAATTCAAGGTTCCCGATTACGGGTTTGTAAGGTATCTAAAAGGTCTACCCTGCCTCAAATTCCATTCTCAGGAATGAGGTTCTGGTCATTTCTCGGGACGAAGATTCTTACGGGGAGTTGAAGGGGCTGGTTGTGATGCATCCCAGCATGGTGGAACTGGTTGCTTCGGAGAAGGTGTACAAGGGAGTTCTCTTACACGTCCCTGTGCCCCTCTCACTGGACCCCATTTTGGAAGTGCCCAACATTGTCAAGGCAGAGCAACTCACTACAACAGTGAACAAGGTGCCCACCCGCCAGTTGCTGATCCACCACCTGGACCTTGGGGTCTGGGGAAAATTCAAGACCTGACCATACCTGTCAGGCCCAGTACAATGGTTCAACTGTCAGGGGTTCAATCATATTGCAACCACCTGCCAGCAAGAGAAGAAGTGCGGTGTTTGTAGCAAGGCACATAACTCGAAGGACTGCACTGCAATCCTCAAACAGCCAACCGGCAAAGCCCTTCGGCCGGAGCCCAAGTGTGCGAACTACTCAAAGAGGCACCATGCCTGGAACTGGAGCTGTCCTGTGATGGTGCAGCACTGGCAGCAGGTTCGTCATCGGAATGACCCGACAGCCCCGATGCCACCCAGCCTTGGAACCACCCACAACAGTCGGTATGGGCTCCAACCGCTGTTCCCCGGACACCACAGGAGGGCAATACCAGCATGTTCCTGGCACTGGGCTCCCGCAGTGGCATCAGGGGGCATGCACTGGCTTGCAGCAGCGTGGTCAACTATGGGGTCAGGTGGCAAGGTGGCCAGGAAGACAGAATCAATGGGAAAAACAGCCACAGGCCAGGAACACTGCCCAGCAGGTCCGAGATGGGCACAAACATTCCTTGCCATCCCACCAGCAGGCCTCTTCCCAAGGGCAGGCCCCTACTGTGAGCAGCCAGAGTCAGGCAGAGGTTCCCTGCTGGGGGACCCGGAAGCCCATGGCGACTCAGCCAGGGCCCAGGATGCAATCAGCTTATACTGCTGCAGTGTCAACAGCCACCCAGACATACCCAGTGACCCAGCTCCGAATCGACGGGTCGTCCAGCTCAATGCCTGCAGAGGTAATGGTCGAATCCTTTCCCGATCGACTGAAGAAAACCATCGGGGTCATCTCAGCGCTCCTCTGTTGCCTGCTGCCGTTGGC